AGAAAGTCGCCAGTTCTCACCATCCAGCTCCACAGATACTCCGCGTAGTAAAGTTGTACTACAAAGTCGCCAGTTCTCCTCGTCCAGCTCGCCAGATACTCCGCGTACTAAAGTTGTACTACAATGTCGCCAGTTCTCAGCTTCCAGCTCTACAGATTGCTCCGCGCACTAAGGTTGTACTAGAAAGTCGCCAGTTCTCAGCTTCCAGCTCCACAGATACTCCGCGTACTAAAGTTGTACTACAAAGTCGCCAGTTCTCAGCTTCTAGCTGCACAGATTGCTCCGCGTACTAAAGTTGTACTAGAAAGTCGCCAGTTCTCAGCTTCCAGCTCCACAGATACTCCGCGTACTAAAGTTGTACTACCAAGTCGCCAGTTCTCATCGTCCAGCTCGCCAGATACTCCGCGTACTAAAGTTGCACTACAAACTCGCCAGCTCTCAGCTTCCAGCTCCCCAGATGCTGTGCCTGCCACGAAATCTGCACATGGAGGTTCACAAAGTGCTGTGCCTGCCACGAAATCTGCACATGGAGGTTCACAAAGTGCTGTGCCTGCCACGAAATCTGCACCTGGAGGTTCACAAAGTGCTGCACCTGCTACGAAATCTGCACATGGAGGTTCACAAAGTGCTGCGCCTGCCACGACATCTGCACATGGAGGTTCACAAAGTGCTGTGCCTGCCACGAAATCTGCACATGGAGGTTCACAAAGTGCTGTGCCTGCCACGAAATCTGCACCTGGAGGTTCACAAGGTGCTGCACCTGCCACGAAATCAGCGCATGGAGGTTCACAAAGCGCTGTGCCTGCCACGAAATCTGCACATGGAGGTTCACAAAGTGCTGCGCCTGCTACGAAATCTGCACATGGAGGTTCACAAAGTGCTGCGCCTGCCACGAAATCTGCACTTCAAGAGACAAGTGAAAACCTAATCACAATGGACGGCCGACCGAGCATGACCCGAGACCGTCTCGCAACAGTCGTTCCGCAGAGCTAGACTTGCCAGGTTCGAAGCCACCGGTTCTATTGAAAAATACAGCATTTCGTGCGTCCGCTATCTCTCGAAAACGCATTTGTATTGCACCTGCCACGAAATCTGCACATGGAGGTTCACAAATTGCTGCACCTGCCACGAAATCTGATGAGTGGTGTATGATGAGTGGTGGTTGAACAGCTGTTGAATGTCCGTAACACGGAAGTTCCTTCTAAACTTCCTTTGATTATAACATAATATAATATAATATATAACATTATATAATGTAGAGAGCTCGAAGTTGCGCGGGTGTGGTTTTTACGCGTTTTTGTTGTGTTTTTCTTAGATCTTGTCATGTTTTGAAAGAGTTTCCACGGTTGCGGTCTAGATATGTTCTTGCGCTCCTGTTTCCCAAACAAACCAACTTTTCTTTTTTTAAACCAACCTCTGGATCCGACTCTGCCCTTCCTTGCCCATAAGCATTCTCATTGTTGCAAAGGTAGCACTTTTTGGGCTTCTCCCTCCACATTCTTTATGAAATGGGCTTCTCCCTCCACATTCTTTATGAAATGGAGAGAAGATCATTATCTTGAAACACAATGTGCCCACCAGGCCCAACAAAAGTTGAGAAACTTGCTTAGTAGTACTGGACCTGGATGACTGATTGGAATTGGGCTTTGCATGGCCTTCTTGACGCCCATGCCCATAATAAGCCCCATCCTCATTCTCAGGGTCATAGGAACCATTCTGCGAGCGTTGGGAGTTCACATCCTATCCCACAAGTTCGATTAGACCAATCCTGCTCATCTCCACTGTTCTCACCCAAAAGGCTCTTCAGGTCTATGCTCCATATCCCCCCATCTATAACAAACCTAATCGAAGCACCATCCATATTGCGCTGCTGTCTGGGGCATTTGCTCAATGGCTTGTAGAGCAATACAATTTGCTCAAAGTCAGGATCCCAATCTCTCATGCCCAGGTGTTGCGTCTATGCAGCCGCCTTTGGTCTCAAATGAAATTGCATACATACAGCCACAACCCCAATGCCAGCTGTTTGATGCACCCAATGCTTCATCTCATCTCATCTCATCTCATTTCATCCACATTGGAAGTTCCATTTTCCTATGCTCTCTAGCTACATGCCCATCTCCAAATCAAGACACTCTTCCACACTCCACCATTGAGACCATACAGTATAGGTATTCACCCTCACCACATAGAGCCTGAATCCCCCATTCCTTCTCCATGTTCTGATAGGCAATGATCCAATTGGCATGGCTCTGATCTGTCAGATCTCTCATCAAGCTTTTGCAAAAATACTAGCTGCTAGCTCTCATGATTCCCACACAGAAGTCCATCAACCATCATCTATCAGCAAGTTCAGGACATCACATCATACATCATCACATTATCACCTCTATGAGGGGGATCTTGTCTCCAAGACCTCCAATCTCAATGAGTCCTCAATCTCCAGCAACTGGGCCTGCCGGTCTCCTTTTCGGGAGGGGGGGCCCCCCTCCCGGGGAGGAGCCTGGGCCCCGGCCCAGTTGATTCATTGAGATTGGAGGTCTTGGAGACTAGGTCCCCCTCATACTCATAGAGGAGATGACCTGATGATGTATGATGTGATGTCGTGGACTTGCTGATAGATGATGGTTGATGGACTTCTGCGTGGGAATCATGAGAGCTAGTATTTTTGCAAAAGCTTGATGAGAGATCTGACAGATTACAAGTTGACATTTTTGCTAGACACGTTCTTGAAAACAACCAACATGTTCAAAAAACGCAGAAAACCACAAACCACAAAAACGCGCAACAACCACACCCGTATAACTTCGTTTTCTGATAATATAACATATACATATATATATATTTATTTTCGTTATATATAATTATTTATATATGTTTTCTGTTTGTTTTTCTAGTGTCAATTGTTTCTCGGTGCACACTGCGAGCACAACTACCAGTCGCCGAGGGCTTTGAGGCTTGCAAACAATATCTAGCACTCTGATGCCTTGGGTGTTGCTTTGGATGTCATTTAGGCGCTTAGCCTGTGTTAGCCTCACATTCTGCACTCTGTTTCTCATCTTCACCTTGCGTCAACCTTTCCTCACAGAACTCAGCAGGTTTGGAAAGCTCTTGGTGTCCAAACATGCCGATGGGTCGTTGTGATGGCACCTAATCCAACACAGCATACTTTGTCCATGTCATTCCTGCCAGGAATGACACATGCTAGCTGGAAGAATTACATAATTAGTGCCAAAGTTTGACTTTTTGCCGCCGGACCTGAATCTAGCTCAAGCAGTTTGAAGTGAGATGCATTTTGGCAATTGTCTGTGATGGCTGGTTGTATGCAAGCTGGCATGCATGCGGGCGCAGCGCCCTGGATGGATGCTTCTATGCAAATGGGCGCAAGCCCTGCACACCCCGCCCCAGTTGCACCTGGAGGAGATTTTCTCGCTATCATTTTGTGATCTTAGTCCAGAGAATCAACTGCACTCTGTTGCTTCTCAGCAGATTTATTCTTGAAGGACCCAGCCAGCCGCTTACCATGGTTGCACCAGCCAATGCGTTTTCGGGAGAAGCAGGTCGTTATCCGCAGGGATCTTGGTAAACTAGCGTTTTTCCTGCTAGTCGGCTTCTGAAGCGAACAGGAGCAAGCAGCAAAATTGTTAAAGGCAGACTTAAGACCGAGCATGAGGATGCTAAACCTGTGAGATTTGAGGTGGTACCGTGTCGCGTTTGCCGGTGGAGTCGATCTTCGCCATGGACCCAGTGTTGAAGCACCTCGCACAGGAGAAACGCTGCTTGGCGCAACGGAGGGGGTTCGCCGCGATTGGGATCCCAATTCAAAGATTTCTGAATTAGGAGTGGAGGAAGGATGGGAGAATCTGATTCTAGCTAGCTAGCTGACAATGGTATACAATGGTGACAAAAAAGACTCTGTGATGCCCTGAATCACATCCGAGAAAGATGCTGGCTCACATGTTGTGCTGCTTTGATCTCTACTAGTAGGGGGTTGCTGAGATTTCTTGGAGCTTGGGTGCTGGTGCCGCTGCAGGGTGCCGCTGCTAGATAGGTGGCTGGGTGCGCTTTGGAGCTTGGGTGCTGGTGCCGCTGCAGGGTGCCGCTGCCAGATGTGTGGCTGGGTGCGCTTTGGAGGAGCCTTGGGTGCTGGCGCCGCTGAGGGCGCTGCAGAGTGCCGCTGCAGTGCGCTTCCCACAAAAGTTTTTTTGCTACCTGGGGTCTATGCTGGCGGCCGCATAATTTATTATTCCCACCAAGCTTTTCAGGGTGAGAGAATAGTTTTGTTTTTATTTCCCCTCACTTGTATGATTGACTTGGGAGGCGACATTACGATCATTTGGTGCCTGAAGCCGATGTTTGGATTTTCATGTTTTTTGCGTCCCAATTCCATTGCGCATGGTTTTTCACGGACGATGACCCTTTCTCCAGCACGAGGCTCTTCCCGCTATCAATTTGGCACGTTACAGTCCATTCACCAAAGCATCTTGAATCACTTCAATCTGATATCCAAGCTGATTAAGTCTGATTAGACGGAGCACCCAGATCAGCGAAACAAAAGATGCCAAAGGTTTCTTTCCACAGAGACGTCCACACTAAGAGACGAGTTGGTTTATAGGCACAAAACGCATTTGTTGTGGCATGCTCCGTTGAGTCGGCTCGTGATCGGTGGAGACAAAAAGATGAACAAAATGTTGGCTAGAAATCCAAAAATGAATCTGACTGGCAATGCCCAAAGCAAGTTCCTTGTAAGGCTTTGCCAAAATGCAACTTTGGCAGTGGCTGAAGAAATTCTTGGTGCTGATGGACGTGTGTATTTGCGACTTGCAGATGGCAGAGGATGGGCGTTCGATGACTCGGCCTTGTTCCCGCATGATCCCTCCGTAGTGCGCCTTGGCCGATTGATACTTGTGAGCATAATGCCCAAAACAGTATTATAGTGCTTGGGGACTTGAAACTCAGGGGCACAAGGAATCAACGCAAAGGCTGGGAAGGTGTGAGGTTTCACCGGGAAGCGATTGTATTCCGGCAGCCACAATGCAGAACAAATTGCCAGCTTTGACAGTGAGGTATACAGAGGGAGCTGGCAGTTTTAAACGATTTAAGCTGTAAGACTACATCCATGTACACGTGCAGCTTGCAGGCCAGCACAGGAGGGTTCAAACATGGGTGATTGGACATCATGGACAAACAATGATTGACAACTGGGGCCGCACACGATATGCTCGTTTGTTTTGAAGACGCCACGTCCCAGGGTTTCGTGCTTTTCAGGGGGTACCTTTGACCTTTCACTTTGGTTTTGTTTGTGCAGGGCCAGTAAAAATGGAATGTGGGTTGCCAGGGTCACCGGGGGAGAAGAAGTTCACTTTGAGGAGGGGAAGCGCCATTTATCTCGTGTATCTCCATTCAACGGAGCAAACAATTACAGTACTTAAGGATTGATGGAGGAGTTTCCAAAAGTTGTCTAAAGGCCTCCGGAATGAGAACAAGTGCGGAGCCCAGATTCACCACAGCAATTTCTCAACTCTTCCCAGCCCAACAGCCACGGGGTGGTTCTAGAATGGGAGAAATACTGGCTCAAACGCAACCAGAGAACAAGACATAGGCAAAGACGCAGTCCGGTAGTGTGCTGCATGCTAATTTACATGTTCTGGAAACAAAAGAACACAGATAGGAACCTCAGGGGCAAAGAGCTTGCATCTGAACAAAGTGATATGAAACCATTCCTTCGTGAAACAAATCATATCAATTCATACAAATCCCGGATATCCAAGTGACTCCCCGGTGGATTTGTTTTGAAAATAAATATTGAAAGAACTGAAAACATACCGATCTGGTATACAGTGTATGTACTATAGATTGTTCAACCTGTTGTCTCTCCAATACTGTGTGTTTGTCCACTGCAGGTTCATTCCAATGCAATTTGTACAACGTAGCCTTTACAAGGCAATGTTTGAGCTGAGTTCTGGCAATACAATTCACGCACAGGCACTTTGTGTTTTCGCCATGCAGTTTGGGCGCTGGTGTTGGTGTATTTGCAGGTTGTATCATGCAGTGCATAAAATGTAGTGGCAGCACAAACTGTACTTGTGCTTTTGCCAAGCTGTGTGCACTGTGTCTAGCACAGTTTTCGCGGAGATGTATACAGTATAATCTGGATTGTTCGTGATTCAACGCGGCATTTTTTTTGCACTGCAATGCAATGTTTGTACAGCACACTGTATGATGCAAGATGTGCACTAGAGTCTTGCCGCGCTTGTGTGCACCCTACTTTGCATATGTCTCCCCCCGTCTGAGCAAATGCTATCAGAGTTTGGTCCAACAATTTTTTCTGTTACGGAAGCCATAGAATGATAAGTAGAAGTAGATTCACCTGTGCGTAGAAAGAAACACCTGGTGCAATGTTGAATTCGAGGTGGAAAGTAAACGCTGGGTGGGCGAGACGGGTTCGGTTCGGGACCGTGGTAGGACGGTCTCGGATTCAGTATTTGTGTCCAGGAGTGTGTGAAGTGCGTGAGAGGTAATACCGAAACCAAGAAAACTTAAAACATCTTAAAACCACCATGAACTACCAAGCTTTGGGGGTTGAGGCCGGTTTTTCAATATGAACATGTGTTTCCTTTCGTGGCTTTTTTTTGGCAGCCCTATGGAGCACGAGCTTTATATATAATTGCAACAGATCCTTACGCGAGTAGCCAAAACCAGTTTGGAGAAATTTGTGCTAGTATTCACTGCAAACAGATCTTCGTGAAAACTAGAATTCTCCCGTGTCATTTGGTTTTACTAGTACAACCCAGCATTGTGCAGGTTTGTGGGCACTGTCCGTGCTGGCAAGTTTGAACGTCGAGAAAGATCTTGGAACGTAGCTTGGGGCCCAGGGGGTAATTATGTAGCAACCACCCACACCATTCCTGAAGGATAGGAGAAAAGACATGTGAAAAAAACAAAGTAAATCCCCAGGAGTGCTTGCAATTTCAAATTTCTCGTAGGTGCAAAGCAACCTATTGAAGCAAGCGATCACATCTGTGGCACCACCCTCCTCCGAAGTTCAACCACGAGTTTGTCAGTGCTATGGAGAAGCCATTTGATATTATTTGAGCATTGTAATCATTCTCGCCAACCCTGAAGTCGTTCAAGGCAGTGTGACGAGGCAAACAGGGATCATCAGGACATGTCACCAGACGTATTGGCCTCAAGTGGTTGTTGTGGAGTTAACCTGAGGCGCGGATATTGGCAGCCAGTGTCGGTTGTGCCGCCTGGAGCAAATGCAGCAGCTGTCGCAGCTGCAGTGGCCAACGGCACTGCAGGTGGAGGTGGCCCTGTGGCTGATGTCGCCGGCAGCATGGGCAGCATGAAACCAATGGATTATGGCAATTCGCAGAGCCGAGGAGTGAACCCATGGATCCTCAATTAGATGCAACGAGGAGGAAGGAAGTGATAGGAAGTGCCAACAGAGCCTACCGTGCCTCCGGCACTGTGGGGCTTCTGCGCTGCATAGCCTTGCAGGTCAGAAGTGCACTCAAGAGTTCCCGCTTGTGAAGCCATTGAGATAGCTCAGGAGTTATGACTGTAGTTTAGACAGGGTGGGTTTGGCTTCCAGCGTAAAAAAGACCGTATGTTCGTGGTAAGGTGATGCGAGTCGCTGGTGTCGTCGACGTAGCTTGACATTTGAAGTCTAGATGACGAACTAATGTAACTAATGACAAACGACAGCCTGAAATCTGCCAGGTGCAGCAATTTGTGTGCCGCACCGTGGATATGTGAGAGTGCCACTGCTTGCAGTTGCAGAGGCTCGGGGCTTCTCTACAATCTCCATTTGATTTCATTTGATGTGATGTATCATTGACCTGGGAAACTAAAGCACATCGATTGCGCACATTGCTAATGATGGATTCCTGGATGCTTGCACAGGCTATTTCTCCTTTGGTGGAATCTCACTTGGCATGCCAAAAAAAGTGGGCAGAACGCAGGCCCTTGAGCCTTGATTTTGCAGGTTGCAAGTTCCGATTGGTCCATGACATAGGTGGATCAGGCCCGTAGCGTTACTAGCTCGAGAAGCAGTAGCACACGGGATGATTCTTGTATACATGCAACATATGTTGTGGAAAGTGCAGATGAAATAAAGGTAGCAGGACAGACTGCATGTGATTGCAAATATGCATGCAAGGCTTTGCAGATTGAGGCTACAAAAAGCAATGAATTTGAATACGATGCAGTATAGTCTGACCTCCACGTAGAATGGTTGCGTCATGTGGCGGCCGCCATGGGCATAGCAATCATTTTGTCTGAAGAAACCCATGTCAAGTCGCTCTTTGCGACTCTGTGAGGTCATTCTCGAGTGAGTATGACAACACCCCCGTTGAAAAAGCCTCCGGATCAATAGTTTGACTCTAAGCAACGTCACTTGCTGGACTTAATGTGACCAGATCAGAAAGCAAGGTGGGCAGGAAAGGTGTGAACTTATGGAACAAAGCTTGAGTGATTCCAGAAAAGGCGTATCACATTGTACAATCACATTACATGAGTGCATACAAGAGCAGATCGCATTCGCCAATTCGAGGTCATGGAGCCGAAATGCGACTCAAACCTGACAAGCTTTCAATTTCGAAGCTGCCAACTCCTGTCTCGACAGGCCGGTCCTCTTGCAATTCCTTTCTTGCCTGTCCAGTTTTTGTGGAGTTCGCTGAGTTCAGGGATTGAGATTTAACATGTTTGTAATTGTGGTCCTGGCAGTGTCAAACTGTCAAGCCAAACAGACGGACCAAGTCATGGTTTCAACATGTGTCAAATATATACTGTATTCCAAATGCGGTTCCAATATAGAAATGCCCAAACTTGCCAGCAGTGACCAGCGCATTTTTGGAGCAGGGTGTCCCGAGTTTGACATGTGATACAATGTATCTATATATGTATGCGTGATTTTGTGTTGTATCTTTTGTACTATTAAAAAGTGTATCTACCTTTGTCTTATCTATATACAGTATTGTTTGAGTATTTACAGGCTGAGGAATAGCAGAGACCGCAGCATTCGCGGTATGTGGTGCTGGCCGTGTGATTGCTAGTTCGTAGTTCGTGTTGGGTATGGACACTCACAGTCCCAGTCTCAGTCGGAGTTGCAGCCCTTGTGACGGTGTCCGCTTGTCGCCCGGTCTCCGCGTCGCGGGCGCGGGGCGTGGAGAGGGGGTCGGACAGAGCGGCGAGAGCAGGGAGAGAGAAGCAAGAAAGGGCGGTGTCCAAACGCAGTGTGGTTCCAAGGGCGTGGGCGGGAGAACGCGCCGAGGGCGCAGCCGTGCCGAGGGCGCAGCACGCGGTCGTGACGGTGCGTCCAGGATCATGTTTAAACCTGTTTGTGCGAGGGAACCCGCCGCAGCGCTCGGCAGCGGCGGGTAGAAGCAGCCGGGGGCGGCCACAGGCAAGCGCTCTGGGGTCGTGTAGCTTTGCCTTCTGTCTGTAAAATCGTTGTGATGGAACGCACTGTCCCGTCGACGTAAACACAACAGCCAAAAGTTGTGCCGTGCATGCGAGCTCCCTGTGTGTCAAGTGTGTACCCGTATGTAGCAGATGTACCGCAGTCAGGTCCCGCAAGGTGTAGCCAATGACAATTACTGCAATTGGGTTGGGTATCCGGCGGCTCTCCTCTACCAACACAAAGTCCGTTGGATTGAAGCAGCAGCCGCATCCCCGGTATGGACTTCTATAGTGAGTTCTTGTATTGAGGCTGACCACGGGCATCTGCTTGAAGAGGAGTTGCGTCGCCCGCTTGTTCTCTTTCTCTTGCTCCTTCTCTTCATCTTCCTCTTCCTCTTCTTTGGCCTTCTTGATCTCCTTTTCTGACATGTTCCTGCAGTTTTCTTTAGTCTTCCGCTATTTGTTCTTTCTGTTTCTCTTTTTCTGCCTCCGCCTCTCCCTCTTCCTTGCTATCCTTCCTCTTCCGCTCTTCCTCTTCGTCTTCTTGCTCTTCCTCTTCTTCTGCTTCTTCTTGTCCCATTGTGGCGCATACCCTTGACTGTGAGCTTTATCATCGTTTGCAAGACTTCTTTCTTGTGAGGCAAACTGGCAAAGGTGTGACCAGTGTTCAGCTGCCCCAATGAAGCTAGGATCCCCTTCCACGGCAAACTAAAGGAGCTGAGCTAACATGTCCTCGGACTGCCAGAGGAAGAGGAGCTGGAAAGGAAGAAGAAGAAGAAGAGGTAGAGGAAGAGAGAGGAAGAGGAAGAGGAAGAGGAAGAGGAAGAGGAAGAGAGAGGAAGAGAAGAAGCAAGAGCAAGAGGAATGGGAACTGGAAGTAGCAGAGAAAGAGGAAGAGCAAGAAAAAGAAGAAACAAAAGGAGAAGGGCAAAAGCAAGAGACATGAAAAAGGCCAGAGCAAGAGGAAGAAAAAAAGAAAGAGGATAAGCAAGAGAAAGAAAAACACCCTCAGCAAGAAGAAGAGGAAGAGAGGGAGGGAGAGGAAAAGGAAGAGCAAGAGCACCCATCTTACACCACTCATCTTACACCACCCATCTCACACCACTCATCTCACACCACTCATCTCACACTACTCATCTTACACTACTCATCTCACACCACTCATCTGACACCACTCATCATACACCAGACATCTTACACCACTCATCTCACTCCACTCATCTCACAC